AGAGAGCGAAAGAGAGACAATACGAGTTGAGCAACTTTTGTCTGGGCGAAATTTTTTAGCTTATCGCTGCCGGTTCAAAAGTCAAGGGTGACTCCGCTGCGCCGCGGCTCAAAGTTTAACAGCAATCATTAAACGGCGGTGGGGAACCTGAAGTGGGACGGTGGCGGGACTGGAGCTGACCTCCTGCGAATCAAAGCAGCACACTTGTGCACACAATTAGCACAGCTCCACACCAGCAGTTCAACCCGGGGGTGTGTTGAGCTTATGCTCAGTGAGCGAAAGGGGAAAGCTAAAAAAATAAATAAATAAATCTGCAGATTACCTTCCAACCATTTCAAATGAAGTGGACAAACCTCTATTATTTTGGTGAGTTTTAATGCTCACTAAGAAAGGAAGAAAAAGTGTCAAATAGGAAGTTTTAGATCTTTTTTTAAGTAGCTACCAAAACAGAGACAGTAAGTTGTCAGTTTTGTTATCAACAATCTGCTGTAATTTTGATATGGATTATGCAGCAGCAAACCAGATTAATGTAACACAATGAGGCACTTGGGTTATTTCTTTTTAGTGCCAGGATCATGCAACAGAAGTTAAAATTGTTATAAAAACAAAAGAAATTGCGCAATTTTTCCTCCAGTTCACACATGTAGTTCAGATACCAAGATGGCCGACTGGACGTCCAGTGCAACAATCGCTAATCACATACTTTAGTTTATTAATAAAAACATAGTGGTGGTTTCTCTTATTTTTATTGTTGTTTCTGTGTTTTCTTTTTCTCGTGATGCGATTTTTACTGTAAAGGGCTTTGGTCACCTTAGCTGGCTGTTGCTAAGCGCTATATAAAAAAATGAATAAATCAATCACATTTCTAACTGTAGGGTGTTGAAATCTCCTTCAATGATTTTTATTCACTCCAATTTATTTATTTATTTATTTTTTGCATTTTTGTCAACAAACATGGCAGTGAAACTACTATGTATGATTTTTGTAGATTTTTCAACTGGTGGAATAAACACTAGATTCATAGGTAAGTCAAAATTACAGGTGTGCAACATTAAAATCTGCAATGTGAAATATCACAATCACAAAGGATCCTGTTGATGGAATTTTGAACATTCGCCATCAGTCCGATAAGTAATACCGAGATGATAAAGAACCTTTTTCCATCCCCATCTTATTGCTGTTTCTGTATGCGTTTGAGAGGGAGTTAGCCATGTAGCATTTGTGTGGTCATGTGACAGCCATCGTGATGCAGCACAGCATACTGCTTAGTTTTTAACTGAAACAAAGAAGCATATCGGCCCAAATTTTTAGATTGGTGCATCCGTAATCTATTATACCACATCCAGTCATTCTATATGTATGGCATTAAATGTCTTCAGCTGGTCAGGCTTCTGGAGGCTATAGATGGGGATAATATTGCCTGTTTAGGCCTGAATTACTCAAACGTGTTAATCGGACTGGAGGTGAGGCTACTTTCAAAGGCACAATAAAGTAAAGCCTCCAAACAAAAATCATGACGCAAAACCTTCACATTCAAAACTTTACATCGCTTCATTTTTGTACCAAATGTTCATTATCACACCTTTAAAAAGGGCTGGATACGTTTGTAATACTTTCACAAGAAATTGCCGTGAGTAGGCCTGTCACGATGACAAATGTTGCTGAACGATACATTGTACCGGAAGTTATTGCGATAAACGATAATTATTGTTGTTTTGAGACCATTTTCAAGTGATATTATTATGCTAATGGAATAATAATAATAACACAAGAACACATTCTCAGAGATCAATAAATTTGAAATAGTGATGAATATTTAAAACTGGAGCTGGAAGACATTTTAAATATCCAAAATAAATAAACAAATACAACAAATAAAATGAATGAAGAAGTCTCTAAACAAAACTGTCCTTGGAAAAAAAAGGGAGTAAGTTACTTATTATCATCCAGTTTTGGTAGAAGATAAAAATGGAAATCCAAGCTGGTTTTACTTTATCATGCGATTACTTGATTTATTGTTTCTGTTCCGAAAGGCCGAGCCTCTACGACGTAGCGCTAAGGTAACTAAAAGCGTTCAGCTAATGGTAGGAAGGCTTCCATCCTGTGGGTCCGGAGCAGATTTTCAATGCCTGGCACTTAAATGGAGCGTATAAGGACTCCTTTATGGTTTGAAGTTTTGCTCAAAAAGCCACTTAAAAAAATAAAAATCTGATGTTCCACTCTCAACATCAAAAACCTATAATATTCAGCTGCATTTTGCATTCCAGGCCCGGAGCGCGAATCCTAAACTGCATGCTGAGTAACCTTTAACATTCGCTACCTAATATTACTCCGTCCAGCCCTCCGCTTCTTGCTTTGGCCCGTCACAGCGATCAGTCTGGCTAATGCCCTCGCCTAAATAAGCTTTGATCTCGTTAGCGCGACATAAAGCCTCTTTACTGCCAGCGATAGGACAAATCGGCTCTCTGGATCGGAGAGAGCGCGGCGCGCGCAGAGAGGGAGAGTTGGATGGGTGGGGGCGGGGGGAGAACTGTAGTCCGACCGCAGCACCGCCTCAAGGGTAAACATCATAAACATCAATACGGCCATCATGGAGCTGGATGGACTGAGAAATGGAAAGATAATCAAAAATGGCAGGGGAGGGGAGGTGGGGGTAGCTCTACCTCATTGGTGGACTGAAAGGCTGCAAATCAGGAGTCAATTAGCAATCTGGAAATAAGCCTGAAGGGGGGAAGAGAGGGAGACAAATCAGAGGACATGCAGGAGGAAGAGGGGGGGAACAAATGGAGGAGGCTGCATTCTCATTTATTATTACAGGCAAACTGGAAGGTCAGCAGCCTCAGTGGGGATCCTGCGGTGATCACCCACCCCGAGCTCGTCACCTCCATCCTGACCTGGATTTGTACGTCTCAAACGTTTTTTTTTTTTTTTCTTTTTTTAATCCTCTATAAAGTGCTTCTCATTTTTATTGCCGGTTCTCCTCCTTTCTCCAGGCCTTTATTTGGTCCACCGGTTCCCAAACACATCCCCGCGACTCCTTTCCTCTCCATATTTGGTGCATTTCAACCGCACGCGACACTTCCCCTCTTCCTCTTCCACCTCCTCCCCTCTACCCCGCACCTCAGACTTTCATCCGTTTCTGAAACTTTATCCATCTACAGATCGTTTTGTCCTTCGTCTGCGCAGGTTGTTCCATCATTCCTCCACCTGTTCGTTCAGTCGTTTCTCCTTTGGTCGGCCTCCACGCGGTCGCAGTCTGATGCGACTGGAGATGCACAGATTCCCGTTTCAGACCGCTACCGATTTTTTTCGCCGTTCTGATCGGCCGGCACTGACTCTTTTTGTTTTATTATTCTGAACACAATAACACATAAAAGTGGAAAATAACTGGATTGAATTCATCAGGCCTTTTGTATCTAGTCTCTATTCAGCTGGCTAACCTCATTTTCCTATTGGCCGATCAGGAATCGGCCGATATTTAAATACGAATTCAAACTAATCTCCCAGTCATCCCGCCATTGCCAACTTAGCAAGTCTGCTGCCAAATTTAGCGACTTTTCAGACAAAGAAAATCAGAATTTTAAAAATCTGTGATCGGTCAGAAAACTGCAATCGGTGCACCACTACTACTTCTTCATTTATTTCATTCATTTATCTTCTACATGTCATCTCTAGATTTTGATTAATTTGACACCTTTATTCTAACATAAAAAATAGTATATATATATATATATATATATATATATATATATATATATATATATATAAAAGACAATTTCCACATAACTGTGTGACATCTACTTTTCAAAATCTACAAATGTTTCCAGGCAGCCATATTTGTTAAGGCTAAGAAAGTCACAGTGTCTTTCAAACAGCTGACCAGCAGTGCACAGCAGTGTAAACTCTCCAGCTTTATCTGCACTCTCATTCAAGTCCTAGCTTGCTGCTCTCGCGCTTAGGAACTTCGCCAGCGTCTTCTTCGGATTCGCTTACGAGGAGATGACCTCTGACCCTCCACTACTCTCGGCTCCGTTCCTTTGGCTCTAAAAACACAGCACGTCCCCGTAACTACTGGATTAGAGCAAGAATGTCAGCTGTAAAAAAAAAAAAAAAAAAAAAAAAAAAGTAAAAATACATACGCCACGCATTAGTAATGAATAGCAACAGATCCAGATAGAGCGAGTGAGAGGCGCATCCTGAAGCCCCCCTGGCTCGTCGCAACCACAGATTATTCCAGCGAGGCGGCTGATGCTCTGCTGTCTCAGCTGTGGAGTCATGAAAGCAGGGAAGACCCGTTTAAGGAGACGCCCCCCCCCCCCCCAGTCCCCTACACCACCCTGGAGCCCCCTTTTGCTCCTTCAAGCCTCCAGCAAAAAGACTCTGCTCTTTGTCTTTCGCTGGGGTTGACCCCTCCCCCAGTCCTGTCGGTCTCTCCCTCTCTCAACACCTAGCCACATTAAAGCAGGAGGTGATGGTGGGGCATTGGGGTGGGACAGGGGAGGACGAAGTGATTAATTACATTCCTATCAGGATCATCATTGCAGGTGTTTATTTTCAGTGCGAATATAAAGAAAAATGTATTTACAGTGCCTTGCAACATGTGATAAAGCCTTGGGTGACTGTGAGGCAGGCATGATGAATGGCTCTGATCTGTGCTGGGCTGCTGTCTGTCATAGCAATGGAGCCTGTATCATATTACCTTTGTCTGGGTTTGCTCCCTCACTGAGCTCAGGCTCAGGATCTCAACAAAGAACATCTAGCTACTGCTTGATAAAAATGTGTCGCTTTCACTCAACACATTCATTTTGTTGAAAGTGCAATTTGTTGAACATTATTGATGAGACAGAAGCGGCCTTTTTGATTTATATATATACACAAATATAGTTTAGTGTTGCTCACTAGATGCCAAGTATGAAAAATATTACACAAGATTAAAAAAAAAACACATATAATAAAAAATAGATACAGATGTGACTAACGGGTTCTTTGTGTTTACATACCTGTCCGATCTCACCGGAGCCGTCTATCCTTGGTCTCTTGCATTCCGCTCCGGTCAGGTCAGTCAGGGCAGCGGCGGTCTGAGCGTCGGGCTCCGGGTCTCCGCGCTTCATCCCCCGGACAACCGCGGCTCCGGCGGCCGCGTTCGGATGCGCTCCGCCGGCCGCCGTCTCGAGGTCCCTCTCGCGCTCCATTATTCCCCGATTAACGGGCAGCATTATAGATGCAACGTCGGTCGACATTAACATTGGACGGGGGACAGTCAGTGATGAAAAGTCTGCTCCTCTTTTTTTCCTCCTGCTTTCTTTCCCCTTTTATTCCTTTGTTTTCTCCTCCACAGCTTGATATTCACTAAAAGCTTCGGACGGATAATATTGAACAGATTTTCATCAATATGGAAAGCTCGCTCTGTTTATTGTCTAACTTGGCGTTGGTTATTACAGACAGACCATAATGACCATATTAAAATCTTGTCCAAACAACAACAGAAAGACCAGCCTTTATCGGAGAGGGGGGAAAAGTGAAATGACGCCAAACAGTGACCTATTTTAATAAAGATCACACGTCCGACTCTCGGGTGCCTGACAAGCTAATTAGCTAGCTACCATTAGCTAGCTCGCTAGCATTACATTCCGCTAGCTCTCCTTATAAATGTGGCTCTGAGAGCACACTGTCGCTGCCAAGAATGGAAAATGTTGGAAATTAGCTGAGCGTAATACTACTCCGTATGCGCCGCCACTCAGTCCTCTCTGCTCTCCCCCTCCGCTGGATGTGCTTCTGTATTAAACTCCTCCGTGGGTCCTACCAGCCTTCCCTTCGCCTTCGCAGCCTCCTTGTCCGTTCCCTCGCCGTGCTCTGCCGTGGATGAGTCTTGGCGTGCCGACCTGGCTGCCGACGGTACACGATTTCCTCTGGTCTGAGTCCCAGGCTCGTAGTGTGGAAGGCGAGACGCGGTCCGCCGACCTGGGATCAGATTTCTCCGCTGACACCGGGATAAGAGAGCGGAGACTGTGAGTCGAGGCGGGCTGGTCTGAGGTCTGCGTTTTTCCCCGAGTCTCCTTCTCCTCCTTTTTCCCTAAACCTCCACCTCCCCTCCCACAGCTCCCCACCGCCGCCTCCTCCAATGCTCCCTCCTCCTCCATGATTGGTATAAATTGTTATAGGAGCGAGAAAAAAAAACAACGAAGGCAGTTGTGTTTTGTTTATTTTTTTTTTTACATGAAACCCACAAAACTATGTTTAAAATAGAATAAATAACACATTAAAATATATATATAATTATATACTTTAGAATGTTTACGTGTATCTATAAATAAGCTATCATTTGATATCTACAATAATATTGCTGTGGTTGAAGTATTAGAACTACTCAATATAGCCACTTTTTTATTTTATTTATGTAATAGATGCATTCATCATATTCTCAATATATATAACACGCTTTATAAATATACCTGTAATCATTTATTTTTTTCCCATCTACTCAAATCAAATTTCAGACATAAATAAATTTTAAAAACGAATTTCACCTCAGTCAGTTTTGAACGGAATATTTAATATTTTAATATGTGCTCGAATAAAAATATCAAACATAAATACATACATAAATTAGCTGTTGTGTCTGCTTTTTAGACAAAAATAGAAATGGTTAATATTTTATATTTATCTGACTGGTCAATGCTCTTTAAAATGTTTTATGCTGATATTTTAATATGTACACAAAGTAAATTAAAAATGTAACAGAAACCCGTCAGATTACTGTTATTTCATGTTTATCCTACTCAAATTTAACTCAGTTTAATAATAATTTTAATCTTTTTAAATCTTTTTAATATGTTTAAATGTTCTAAGTGTATTCTAAATAAAAAATGAACCAGACAGAGCCCTTCTCTTTGCCTTCAATTGTATTATTTACTTATTTTTTGTGTACTTAAAATAACTTCAATTATAAATGCAATAAATAAATAAGCCAGATTCATCAGTGACTTTTACTTCCACACGGTTAGCATGCATTTTATATGTTTTTTAATATTCTTGCGCCCCCTGGTGGTCGTAAAATGACAACATACCGAAAGAAATTATTTATCCGAAAGTCTGGTCATAAAGCCATTTACTCTGCCTGGGGAAAATAAAACAACTCTTACCTCTTGTTTGATCAAAGACTGTATGTTTTGCTAGCCTCCAAAACATTGATTTTATTGTGTTTTAGCCACTTTGTAGACAATTTAACTGTGTTCTTAGGATTATTGTTCATTTGAAGGACTCAGTCTCTCTTACTAATTTCCCATGTAACATGAAGGCACCAACCCCTGTTCTTCCCAGGTGGGATGGTGTTAGCAAGGAGGTTTATTAGAATCTCTTTTTTTCCTTTTTCTTTCAAATATAGTGATGGCCATTATAGCCAAACATTTATTACTGTAATTAGTTTTCTTGTGTTTATTTTTGAATAATGGCTTCTTCCTCACTGAGTGATGTTTAAGGCCACAATGCGGATAATAACACTCCTACCGCACTCAGTTGGTAGGATCTTCTCAAGGTTTTTTGCTTTTGTTTTAGAGTTGATATTCACATTTTGTGCCAAAACACATTAATATGCCCCTTACTCTTTTATGGTAAAGTGAAAATGCACAAAAAAAATCTAAGTAAACATTCAAGTAGGAATCTAAACAGAATCACGCCAGCTAAAATTGCTAAGTTGACTATGATAGATATTGTTAACTTCAGGTGCAAGAGTGTCTGAAATGGTTTTTAGGTCATTGGAGTACAAATCTGGCTAAATTCATTAGCTTGAACCATTAGCAACACAACTAAAGGTTGAGTTCTTCAGAATCTATATTAAAATCGTTCAAATTTATGCTTATATTTATGAAAAGCTGTTGATCCTCTCAATCATTTTGCCTCCTGTGATGTCAGCGACCAAAGTAAACACAAAGCAAAAGAGGAGAAGATGGGTTCTATTTTGTCCTATCTGCAGTTTTTAAAGAATGTATTTTTGTTCAGTCCTGCAGTGGAAATCTATAACTCATTATCCAGCTGTGTTTTTATTACAACTGTACATTTCTTAGTGGAAAAACAATGCAGCACTGTAGAGTACTTTAAAAAAATTTAAGAAAATAAAAGAGATAATTGTTTCCTGTTGTATTACTGTAAATGAATTAAATAAGTCTCTGATATTCGTTATGTGTTTGTCATAAACAACGGACCAAAGGGAAATAAACTAAAAAAAAAATCTAGAAAGTTACAGTCTTTAAATCAGTGTTTTTTTTTTTTTATTGCAGACACTACATAAGCTAGAATCACTCTACAGGTCTTAATATAAGTATATTTATTATGTAAATGTGTATAAATGCATCATGTCGTAATAGGATTTCTCACCGAATCCTTTACTTTACCTTAGATGTTTTTAATGCTTTTGCGCCTCCTAGTGGGAGGTAAAATTACAACGTTCAAAAAGAAACTTCATTTTAGTTCAGGCATTGCAACTTTGTGCCATGTTTGTCTTCTCAATATGTACATAAACGCAACATAGTTATAAATAATGATAAATAAAATCAATTGCAGCACTCTTATGTTTGCAAATAACAAATTACCTGACTCCAAAGTCTAGTGACTTATTTTCTTTTCAGAAATCACATAATTTTCTTTACTTTTTTTGTTTTGTTTAGTTTCCATTTAAATTTGATTTAATAAAGAGCATCAGTGAGTCCTTTGACACAAGTGTGGAAACCAAACAGCTGTGTAAAGAAACACTTGGGGGTTGAGCGCTGGAAGGAAAAGGATTCAGTGACTGTATTCTGTAACAAATGGAAAATGTCGGGTGCTCTCACGAGTTCAGATGTTTCCTCGGCTACTTAACGTCATAAACACTGGTGTGAGGAAAAACACAGCTGAAGCACGCTGCGCAAACCTGTGTGGGGGATTATTGTCTGTGTTCATTTGTCCAGTTTCACTGGCCTTTTCCGTCAGCCAGAAGTTACATGTGGCAGGATTAACAAATTCACCAAAAACTGGGGAAGTAATTATTCTTTTGGAATCTCATTGTAAAAAAAAAAAAACAAAAAAAAAACTGAAAACTTTTATCAGTTTCAGTTTCAGCTGCATTCGAAGAAAATGTTTGAATTCAGGATATTGTGGATTTTTGTGTGGGTTCCATTCTGTGTTTACTCTTTCTCCCTATATAGGCCTCCTCCCTTTCTGTGGTGCTAATCTTTTGCAAGGGTGGTCTGCTGCTCTCCCAACTGCAATTTCTTACTTTTTGAAACACATAAAGACAGTCACAAAGTCGGCCTTCTGTCACCTGAAGAACATCTCCAGGATTAGAGGACTGATGTCTCAGCGTGATTTACAGAAACTCATCCATGTGTTTATCTTTAGTCGCATTGATTACTGCAACAGTGGACAACAGGTCTGACTAATAAATCAATCCTCCAGCTGCAGCAGATCCAGAACGCTGCTGTTGGCGTTCTGACTAAAACCAGGAAGATAGAGCACATAACAGCAGTTTTAACGTCCTTCCACTGGCTCCCTGTAGCTGAGGGAATACACTTTACAACACTGTTGTTAGTTTATAAATCACTAAGCATTCACCACAAAGCTGGAACAATCTTCCAGAAAACTGCAAAGCAGCCGAAACACTGAAAGCAATGCTAGAAAAAAAAGCGCCTGTTTTGAGTTGCCCTTGATTAGTAGTAAGTGAAACATTGATCAACATTTTTTATGCTTATTGACCATTTTGATGGTAGTATTTAACGAAATACGATGTTTAGCTCTTGCTTCACACTACTTTTTATGAAGTAAAACACGTTGAACTGCCTTGTTGCTCAAATGTGCTCCACAAACAGACTTGACTCGACTTGACTTGACCAGAGTGACTCTTACACATCGCCAGACTGTCGCAATCCACAAATCCAGCCCTTCTGTACTGTTTACACTTCCACTGAGAAGATATCACACTGAAAGTATAACTTGTATTTTTTTTTTTTCCAAATGGTTACTCAAGTAAATGTAACTAGTTACCACCCAACTTTCCCCCGACTGAGCAGTATTTACATAACTCAGGTTCACCGCTTCTCCGAGGCTTTTACTCAGACTCCAAGATAAACTACTTTCCTGAAATTTACCTGTCGGATTGCAGTGAGTTCAAGCTTTTTAAGTGCAAAGTTCCAGCTCTTCAACATGACAGCGTGCATACATAGAAGAAACGGAGAGGGACTTGTGCTCTCTTTTCTCTGTGACTCGCTCCATCAGCCTCCACCTCAATCCTGCTACCTGCCCCCCATGCCGCCCACTGAACCTGCAATGATGGATGGCAGAGGGGTCACATAACTCCACGCTGCAGCCAGTTTTCCCTGACAAGGCTGGCGAGAGGCAGACGAGGCCATTACTCTCAACGCAGCGACAGACCTCACAGGCTGAGAAATGGCATCGCTTCCAAAAAGATCCGTTATGAGGAGGAATGTCTGTTTCATTTGGTTGTGATATAAATTAGCATGCTGTGTGATGCGGCGCCTTGCAAATGTGCTTTTGATGGCTGTTCTTTTCTCACATTCTGTCACATGATAACCGCTAACTTCAATGTATCTTAGACAGATTATATGTGACAAATGCAACGCTGTACGGAGGATCGTAAGTGACGCAATTAAAAATAAAAGCTGATAAATATATAATTATATATTTCATAAAGCAGCACTGGATATAGGAAGGAAAAAAGATTCATGGTTTTATTTTTATTTTTATGTTTTACAAATAAACATCTAAAAAGTGTGGCATGCTTTTGTGTTCCACCTCCCACCAAATTTCTGCACATCTAAGCACTCGAGTTGTTTTTTGTACTTTCTGATTTGGAAAAACAGCTCACACTCTGCGTCATCCTAACACACTAGTAAAACTTTGTATGTATTGTATTGTAGCTGTGTTTGCAAATGTTTGGTTATTTCCTCACTGGAAGAACAAAACCTCCCCTGTGACTTCAGTCTTGCACAGCCTCTCACTGGTTTTCTTCAGACTGCCAGTGTTTTTTATCTCTGTTCATCTTCCGATTATTGTTGAAGAAAATCCCCACTGCACCATGATGCTGCCACCACCGTGTTCTGCAATAGGTACAGTGTGCCTAGGTCTTCAGAGTCCTGTCCGAAACTAAACATCATGTCCATCAGCTCTGAAACAAACTCTCTGAAAACCTGAGATGTGTAGAAACTGCTGTGTTTTGAATTCAAAATGTATATATATTTCTTTGTTTTCAGCAGCTTTAGATAAAAAATCTGACCAATAAACATTTGTTTCTTTTATGCTTTTCATTCACTTTTTGCATTGTGCATGGATGGAGATATGCAAATAAACTTGTCTTGTCTTAGGGGAATGTGCAGTGTTGTCTGACACAAACACATTTCAAGGTTTTTGTCTTAGCTGACCTGCACATTTATTAGGCTGCATTATGTATCGCTGCACACATGTACAATGAGATTAATGTGAATTGTGGCAAACAGGCTTTGTTTCAACAATGGCTTTCGTCTTGCTTCCATGAAAGGAAAGATTTGCTTCGTGCGCAGCTGGTAGTTATCCTGTTGCACGGATTCCCCCACACGAGCTCAGATTCTCCCCAGATCCTACAGAGTTGCCCACAGGCCTCTTTGGCTGCTGCTGATTAATTAAAACTCAGCCGGGGGTCTGTGTCTGTTTTATTTTATTTTTCTTCCTTCAGCTTCATAAATATCCTCTACTTTGTGCACATAAAATCACATTTAAAATGCACTGATAGAACAAAAACAAAGGAAACTTAAATGTTTTCTGCAAAAAAATATTACATTTGATTTCCCTAGTGTGGAAATCTCATGAGAACTGTTTCAGAGCTTAGTTTTTTATTTTTAATGTTTCCTTAAATTAAAAAAATGAATCACGGTGGATCACCGTTATCAGGTGAATCAATTCCCAGTTATTTTCTGGTTATCTCTGCTCACACAAGTAATGTTAGTAAGATGTAATTCACAACAAAGCTAGATAGACGCTGATGTTTTTGGATTTTCTACACATGTGAAATGTTATTGACAGTCAGGTTTTAAAATTATGTTTAAGTATGTTGGTCATTTACTATCTCCATGGTGCTGGGGGATTTTTTTAACAGTCTGATTTGACAAAAGCTTTGTTTTTCTAGATAAGTCAACTACAATAGCAATACAATCAGTTGCATAAGATGGATAAGACTACATGCCCAGTTCCTCTTCTAAGCCGATCTGTTCAGCAGACCTCTTTTTGTATCTTTTCAGATCTTGTTACACAGGAATTTACTACCGGATCCAAGTGGTTTTGTTTTTCTTTCCTAGTTTTGATTACTGTTACTCGAAAATCAGCCTTATTTAACCTTATCAGTGTGAGTAACTTCTCTGCTGCTTTCCGTTTATTTGAAGTAATGGCGTCAAAGTGTAATCTTGGAAAATGTAGTGAAAGTGTAGGTAGTTGTTTGGGCTGGTTGCATGTATGGGGGGAGGAGAGAGATGGCAACGCCGTTTCCTTTTCATTTCGTTTCTTCTCTTTTGACTTTGGAGCTTAAAAGCAAAATTAAAACGTGGTTTTGTATACTCAAGCATTTTAACTGTGATAACAACAGCGTTATTTTGAACCAAACTACGTCCATAGACCCCAGTAATAATTTAACACCAGCGTAGGTGAACGTCTAGTGTCTTCTTGCAGTAATAACGTAAACAAAGGCGTCCTGACACAGTCTCGTTTCCTTAAGTTTCCTTTTTTCCCCCTTTGACATCTTTCTCTGTAAGCAGCAGCTCCCCGTCCTCCTGCTCATTGGGGCTATACTTCATCGGTCAAACCTTTCGACCAATCAGAGAACTGGGACAAGTCGAGGAGGCGGGGCTTGTCTCACGTTGAGGTAAGAAAATTAACACGCAGTTTAATCGGATGCTGTAGCGAAAGGCGCGTGCTGCTTTATCAAATCACAGCTGAAAAAGGTACTTAATTCATTTGAAGCTATTTTTCTTATATCAGTTTTTGCCATTTGGTTGGATTCAGATTGAGAATTGTGTTGGTAGTTCATATTTTCCGTGTTAAATATTTGACGTTTAAAAATATTACGGCGTTTGCTGACATTGACTTGCTCCGATATGCACTAACGCGTTTTTCCCCCTGTATGCTCCACCTGAACAGGCCCGTGCTGCTGGAAGAGCTCCACCATTCCCATTTGTTTTATCTTCAGACTTCAGAAGTGCGCAGTTTAACAGACCGCTGCTCATCATGGCTGTCGACGGATGTGGACTCGTGTGCAAATATATTCTCATCCTTTTCAACATCATCTTTGCTGTAAGTGAATTTAATTAAATTAAAAAACCACCACAAAAAGGCGTTTTAAGTGTTTATTGCAAAACACGAGTAGCGGAAGTGGCCGCTACTTGTGTGTGCGGTTACAGTTGATTTGTTCAGAGGTTTCGTTTCTCCAGAAATGCCGACGCTCTCCTTCAAGCGTTACCTCCAGTGTTAGCCTGGAGATGAGCCCTCTCTATTTAGGCTTAATTCCCGTTTGGTTGTTCATCAGGGTTTTTACATACTTTTTTTTTTTTCCAGTTGGTCTATGATTAGCCACTGCCACACCGAGAACAGGAACTTATCTTACTGCAAGTAACTCCTTTTTGTAGGAGAATAGTTACGAAATGAACCATCTTCAGCGTCATGATACATTGAGTAGTTCCTCTTGATAATGATAAATGGACGATAACACTAAACCCCTCTGGACTTTAAAACTACAGCGTCTCCAATAAATGAGGAAAATGTGTGTGTTTAGTCGTTAAGGGTTACTGAATGAATAAACACAACTCGGCAAGCTTAGAAGTATAAAATGACTTTCCTGTAAACATTTTAAATTTCCTCCATTTACTGTTTATGGGACTCCAGACGGTACCCATAGTGTCTCAAAGGGACACTGTCGTTTTTAGCTGTTACAACCAGCCAAAATCGACTTTTCTTTTCATTTTTTTAAAACACCGAAAATGCAGACATGGACAAAATGACGTTGGTCATCGTGATAGATTTCTGTGTTGGTTAATGTTTGGTCTATCGCCCAGGCCTGCGTCACTTCCTACCAGTTACTGCATCTGAGCAGTTCTCTACATTTTGTCAGGATTTAGGTTTTTCTGAGTTCTCTGTATGTTTAGTTTAGGTTTCTCTGTGTCTTATTTTGATCCTGTTCCCTGTGAGTCCTGTCTCCTCCCTAATTGTTTCCCAGCAGTGTCTAGTTCCCCAATTGCTCCCTGTGTATTTAAGCCCACCTGTTGTCTCTGTCCTTTGTCAAATCCTTGTCGGTTGTCATCGTATGTCAGTGTGTTAACCCTCCAGTAGAACTGTATAGTCCTCCTGGTCGGTTTACCTCTCGTGGTCAGTCCTTTGTTTCTGTTGCTACTGGTTTAAGCTTTGCTTATGTTCTCTGCTGTGCTGTCTGAACTGGACTGTTGAGCTACTTTCTATTAAATCATCATCACCATCACCTCTCAACCTGGGTCCTGCCTGCGTTCACTCTCACCACCTTTAACCACATCATGACACATTTGTGATATTGTACAGATTGATGCCATGCTGACAGTTTTGATTTGGTGTTTATAGGGCTCTACTTGTTGTGTATAAAGAGAAACTGCTTTGCACCTGTGGCTGCTTTTGGCTATTCGTGGAACCACAGCTGTTTGTGCTCTGACAGTGCTGCACCAAATAACACGGACCTGTGATGTGGTTTTGCTTCCTCTTTCACGGCAGGTGGTTGGGACGGCGTTTCTGGGCCTCGGTTTGTGGCTCAGATTCAGCGAAGGCACCAGAGGGATCTTTGATATCGACGCGCTCAACTCCAGCGCTTTCGTCATAGGTTTGTCGCAAACGCGTCGGTCGGTAACAGGCCGGTTCCAGATTACATCTTATGGCAAACTGTTCCTGTTTTCTGCTCCGTCAGGTGTGACCGTGCTGATCATTCTTGGTTCAATCATGCTGATTGTGGTGGCGTTCGGAGACTACGGCGCCTGCAATGAGAAAAAATGTGCCCTGCAAGTGGTGAGCCTATGCACACACACACTCAAATACACACACACACACTTAAGATTTATCAGGTTGTAACCAAACCTGTTGCAATAAGCAGCTGATGGCATGATCAATTCAATTGAGCTCACTGTTAATATCAGTTCACAAAGACATCATAATCCATTTTATTAATGGTTGTGATTCTGTGGTTTTATTTCTGCTTTAGATATTTATTGATTGCTGTTTTCTTTTCTGTCTTTAACATCTCTTCCAATTCCAGTGTTAAATGTTCTTAGCAAAATTAAAGTTTATTGTTCCTCAAGATGACAAACCTGTATTATGGTGCCATTATTAATATACTACTTGAAACAAAAATATTGTAATTTATCACAATAATACCAGGACAATGCAGCATCCAGCAAAATGGTACATAGTTTCTGTAGTGGTAACTCAGAGGTGATGCCGAAGCATCAAAACAACAGAAAATGATAATTAAAAACAGATAAAATATTTTTATTGCTTCATTTTGTTTTACATTATGTATTTGAATTGATTTGGTTTATATTTTTTTGTGTTTTTTTTATGTTTTGACTTTTTTTAAAAATGCAAAAGTATTTTGTTTCAAAAGGTGCTATGCAAATTAAGTATCACTTAGGTAGTGTTTGGGTTTTTGTCATTAAATTACACTCAGGATGATCACATCTACATGAGTGTATAAAAACAAAGTTATGAAATGTGGTATTTCTGGAATTCTGTCTTTCAGACATGCAGCCTTTTTGGCTCCAACTTAAAGAGAAAACAATGTTTCCAACATTATTCTGTAGCTACTTTTGAAAGAATCCATAAAGCAGATTTTATTGCAAATAAACTTGAACTCTTTTGATTCCCTTTTTGTTGTTTCGCTGCAGAATAACTCGCAGTAATCCATTTCTTCTTGTCCCTCCAGTTCTCCATCCTGGTCTTCTTTCTGGCTGTGGCCGAGTTTATCATCGGAGGACTTGCCTATTCCAACAGAGACACGGTAAAAGCCTCAGCCATCTGTCCCAAACCAAGCCGTCCTGATCGTACTCATGTGTTTTTGGGTTTTCCTCCCCCAGGTTGGACTGAGACTAGGAGAGTTTTACACAACTTTATACACCCTCTATGTGAATAGCCAAGATCCAGCAATTGGTGTCACACTCACATTCATCCACAACTCGGTAAGTGTGAACATTTTCTTGTTTTAATATAAAAATCTTGTGCATTTATATGTTGACATACATGGTAATTTTTCTGGGTACTCCTACTGACTTCCACTTCCTGTGCTTCAGCTGCACTGCTGTGGAATGACCGGAGTGCCGCTAGTTGAGCTGGTGAAGCAGACCTGTCCTAAACCAGACGGTATCATGGAGCACCTCGTCATGCCTGTAAGTGGCTTTCTTACCGTGGGAATCTTTTGATTATGATCACCTCTTGGCCTAGAGGTGGGAATGAATCCACTTCAAGAATTGAAAAGATTGTCGAAGGTGTGCCTACACTGGAATGATTCAGATTCAAACGTATTTGTCTGCTGCCACGGCCCAGTCAAAGTCCATGTCTAAATTCTATAGAGTCTGTGGTGAGATCCAATCAGACTGAGCTCGAGATATTTTGTAAAGTAAAACAGGTGAATGTTTTGGTTGCTAGAAATGGAAAGCAGATGGAGGCTCAAAAGATCTGAAGCAGGAGTTGGAGTGAAAATTAGTTTTATAAAGTGTTGACTAAAAATTATTCTCTGCCCAGTGTTGGTGTGGCACGTAAAATCCCATCTGGACAAAATGTGGAAAGTTTAAATACCAATACCTTCCAAGGGATTGCGTCACTCTTACTATAGATATAAGCTTATTTTAAAGGAGTAGGAATCTTCTTTTGTAAGTATTTCCTGACGCAAGAAAATGAGGAAGGAAAGTTATCAAAAATGTCATATTTATAGTCCTAGGAAACAAAGTCCAGGATGACGAATGAAACTCACAGACATACTATTCATGTGGGGAAAAAATAGAAAGAGAAAACATCTATTGGCCCTTCACCACCACAGGAAGCGTCTTGCACAAGAACTGCATATTTTCCTTGACACTGATTGGCTGTAACTTTACGTGTGGAGTAGAGTCAAAATATTGATGTTAGCTTCTGGGTTGTGGCCTGGGCTCTTAAAGAGCCGATTGTACCAGAAAGTGTAGATAAAACCTTTTCACCAACTGTTAAAATATCAATGAATTTCTAAAATTAAATATTATTGAACATCTTTTCAGTCCCTCCAGGATTTCATGATTCTTTTTGTGTTTTTTCTTTGCAACAAAAAGTGTTTGGTACTAATTTGGACATATTAGTGTTTATTTTTGACTGTGAATTTAACTCTTTATTACTCACTGTGTAGATCATAGACTATAATCTGATATTAAAGCTGAGGCATCTGTTTAGTACAAGTAAGAGTTTTTGGAAATGTTTGAGAAAAATCTGCAATAAACTCCCAATTATGTATTGGCACAAAAACGTGTCGGTATTTGTTTTAACGTGAATTTCCATGATAATTCTCAACAAACTGGAGGGACTGATTTATATAATTTGGCAGCAAATGGATAAAAACTGCATTGATTTGACTTGTAACGTATTTAAGCTCAATTAGTGTTTAGTCTAAAATGTAGAGGTCCACATAAAAAGCAATGGCGGACCAGGTTTAGCCCACGGGCCTCGAGTTTGACACATGCTTTACACTTTGCGTCAAAATCCCTACCAAGATACATTTGGTATTCGAACCATTAAAATAGGCAACTATACATGAGCTTTTGGCCGTTCCTTCAAAGTGTTTCTCAGGGTTTAGCTGTTCGTAGAGGGTTCTGGTCCCTGATTCAGAGCTGAGATGCTTGTAGAGGTGGAAGTCGTGGAAAACCAGTTTGCTTCCTGCTGGTGGATTTGCTCTGTAAACTCTGGGTTGGGTGTTGAATCTTCAGGCACTCACAGCGTCTTCTGTCGTCCACCAGAACTGTCCCGCTACCATCATCACCGTCTTCGACAGCCGGGCGCCACTGGTGCTGGGCATCTTCGTCGGAACTGGAGCTCTTCTGGTAGGAAAACTCTGCATATTTGTGTTTGCTTAGAAGCAGGTCTAAAAGATAAAAATTTTCACACCAACAGAACGTCTTGTTCCATAATTCCTTCCTAATTTGACGTTTTAGTGAAGTGTGACCAACATTGTGATTGTAGATACGAGGGTGCAGAACAAGTTTGTGTTTTGCTCATGTTTTTAAGTTTGACCATCTTTCTCTCCTCCCCCTCCCACCTTTTTTTTTTATTTTTTTTATTTTCTCATTTCCTCCATCATTGCTTCCAAAAGATCGTAGCTCTGATTTGCAGCGGAGTTCTCAGTTCACAGATTCGCCATGCCTCCTCATCTCCTCAGTACATTATCCTGAACTCCAGCACCCCCTCCCTGGCTGCCCCTCAGCCGTACCCTCAGCCGTACCCTCAGCCTGTCACCGCCTCCAACAACTCCTTCCCCAACCAGGACCCCGCTGTCTTCACATCCCTCTCTGTGGTCAACGTCCCTGTGGCTCAGGCTTAGGAGGCTTCTCGACAGATTCCATTCTCGCTGTTGTGGATTTGTGTTGTTCCACAGCGTCTTGACGTGACAAACCCTTTGCTTCACTCGGCATGATCACGCTTGAGCTTCACACTTTGTAGAAGGAAAAAAAATCCCCCCCTCAGATATCTAAACTGTACTTTTGGGAAGATCATTCTCCAAGAAATTGGGAAAAGCACTTGTTCTGATGCAACCGTTGGGTTTCTATTGGTCAGAACTTTACACACCTCCAGCACGGACATGAATTTCATGATAATTTAGGACCTTAAAAGTAACGTTAACACTTTATTTGAAGGGGTGTGCATAAGACTGACATGACACCATCATAAACATAACACCTGTCATGAACATGAATTAGTCTTTATGAATGTTTATTACTGCTGTCATGAAGTGTCATTTGGTAGATAATGACACTTAATTGCAAAGCTGGCACTTTTAATGGACTTTCAATGCAACGTTTAGAGCAACTTTGCATTAAAAGTGTCATTATTTACCAAATGACACTTCATGACAACAGTCAGACATTCATAAAGACTAATTCATGTTCATGACAGGCGTTATGTCATGACAGTTTTGTGTCAGTCTTATGCACATCCTGTCAAAGTGTTACCAAACTAGCTAATGTGATATTTTTCAGGAATGGCTACAACATAGAACTTCTCTATTGTTTCAAAACAATAACTGAAAAATTACAACTTCATTTAGAGATATTTCAGGGTCAAAATTACTTGGACATCAACTTGAGCTTTGTCGGTTTTCTATTAGTGGGCAAAAAAAGGTCAACATTAAGATACTGTTGAAGTTTTATGGACCAAAAAACTAATTTGTGCCAGGAAATCTGAGCCATTTCTGATAAGTTGTCAAAATATTCTGACGATTGACTGGATGTAAACTTCTGACCAGAACCGGGTTTGTCAACCACCAAGTGGAAACAAATGATTTCCGTTCCACTAATTGGAGCAACACTTGCCGTTAATTCTCCAACTCAGTCTTGTTCTCACCTTCTTTAATCTAACATGTTGATGTAACAGGGTTGGATTTTTGTCCTTCAAATGTTTTCTTAGACAAACTCATTTTCTGATTTCACAGATGGTTTTTGTGTTTGTGGTTTGGGTGTAAATCTTCCATGTGGCTGGTTTAAATTTGTGAAAACATGGTAGAGGTGGAAGCGGGACATTCTGGTGTTTTCAAGGATGAACGTAGGAGCCTGGCACTAAAATCCATCCTGAACGATCAGATCTCCGTTAGCCGCTGTGAATGTATGCTGACCTCGGGACTAATCCGTTACCCGATTTGGCGTTTCGGTTGGACATTAGTGCCAGGTGTGTGCGGGGGTCTCTTTCCCCTTCGCTGTTCTTTACTTCCCTCCTTCTTTGTCTGCATGACAGATCACTGCCCTGGTCTGCGCCATTGTCCTCCTGCAACAGGTCAAGAAAGTGCACCAGGACATCACCACTTACTATTCTTCTGTGTACTAAGTCGTCATCAGTGACCATCGCTGGAAAGTCAGCCAGCAGATCAGTGTTTACAGCCTTTTCCAATGTGTGTATGTACGTGTCAACTACTGACTGCAGTTCCAGTTGGGAGGCTGGTGAAAATGCCGTATACCACTAGATGAACCAACTTTAAAAAAAAGGTACACCACTTGAGTGAAAATGATTCTGTCAATGCTAAACACAACTTGATTAATCTGCAAATTTTAGTAGCCAAACCAGACTGAGCCTTTTTTAAGAAATAGAACCGTATGCAGCCTCGTTGCACGTTAGCTCTTTTCATTTCTGTGATTTCAACTTGTTCTGTTTAGTAAGATTGCTTTAGCTCGTTTGTTGTTGCAACACTGGTGAACATCACTGTCGGCAATGTAAAAAAGGGATCAAAATGAAACTTTTAGAAGCTTTGATTGTATTTAGGTCTGATTATACATTTGAAACCTTTAATCTTGTTTGTTTCTTCACATGTCCCTCATGTGCTATGCTCAAAATTTTGTTAGATTTGTTCACTTTTTTAACATTTTTATATATAGATTTTAAGGTAAACAAAAACTTTTTGTTGTTTCCAACTACTTTTCATTTTGTTCTTATTGATATTTTAAGAGCCACAGCTATAGCCTGGAAGTTGAGTACCAAATAATAAGACCTTACAACATTCAAATGGTGTCTTTTAAAGCTGTAATTTAAAACTGTTGCCTTGGTATAAATTACTATATTGGGAAAAAAAGAGACATAATTTAAGTAATATGTTTAAAAGCTGAATGCCTTATTTTTCTTCACACTATCATGTAGTCTTGACTACTGCATTGTATTATGTTAGAGCTAAATATTCTCTTTAAGAGTTGTGGCTTTGCATGTTTCCATAAAAATAACAGAAAAAATTGCATGTGTGAATGTGTCATTTCCTTTTCACTACACTGGGAACGATCTAAGTCTGATAAAGAGATGCACGTTAAAGTATTTCAAAAGCTGGGGGAAAAGAAATATATGGCTTTGGACTATAAAAATGACAAACTTAAATGAGGTCATGTTCATTGTACTTGGTCAGTTTTTTTTTTTTTTTTAAAGGAATAGCCCCCTAATAAAGCTAAACTCACATGAGTCTACAGCTCAAAGTTCAGATATGGGATAAAGATTTGGGTTAAGTTGCTCTGAGCCACCAGGTTGTAAAGAATAGGGATGGTACCATGAAGCACCACCTGCTGCTTTCAGTCTCTGCTGAACAAACGTTTCAACCATAATAACCCCTGTTCTGCATAAAATGGAAATCCATTTTGTTAGTAAAAGGCAATAAAAGCCATGTGGTTCTTTACAAATTCAGATTCAGTTTGTCTAAGTTACATTAGGAACATCTTGACAAAATACAGCATCTGCCATGAACTTGTTTTATTCTAGTGAGTTATGTTTCTAAAATTGGAAGACATTTGATAATTTGCATGTATTGTATCTGGAGCTAATTACGGCCTCAATCCAGTAACATTCTGTATTACAATTTTTTGTTTTTTAAAGATCTTTTCTATTACTTTTCTAAGTTAGTTTCAAGAGCCCAAACTTTTTGAGACCAAGATCTATTTTTTCTCTGAGCGGCTGGTTGAGATTTGCCACATGACATGAAGATAGAAAAATTGTAAATGAAACTATGTGAATATACATAGTTTTATATTAGTTATAGCAGACAAAGTGATGGAAAACCTAATGCAGTTTCTTCCAATTTAATTTCACATAATTATCACAGTACTAGCCCACTGTTTAAATACTTCATGTCCTATTTGTTTGTTGTGAATGATGTATACTCGCAAACTAACAACTATTAGTCCAATTTTGTCATTTATTAAATGTTCAGAAATCACAGCGCCTGTAGCGAAAGTAAACAAAGGTAAATAACCTGAACAGGTGATCAACTCAAAACCACTCGAACCTTTATGCTCCCTCTCTCTCTTTGTGGTTTAAGCACGCCTCTGTTGTATCTCTGTTGTTTAAGTTGCCGTGACAACCGCCTGAGTTGCCTGGAGAAACAACTTCTTCACTAAACAAAATAAATTTTAATGAACTAGAACATTTCTTTAGAAATTTAACCGGGGCCTGCCAAAGTGTGCCCGTCAGTTGGAACCCAGCGTGCTGATGCTACAAATTAGCATCAATGCTTTGCAGATATCGATGGATCTGTGTTGTTGAATTAGTCTGATGAAACAAAACTAAATCGGTGATTTCAGGGACCAGTAGATATTTAAGTGGGGATATTTTATGTTTATATTATTTGCCGATGTAACTAACTGCAGGACTTTTTTTTAAATTCAGTGTTTATTTCCATTATATTCCTGTGAAATGATTAAAGGACATAAACTTTGCAGAGTATAAACTATGGAGTTAAATTGGTTTACAATTATTCAATAATAAAAAACTAATCTCTAAGAAAAAATGTGGTCAAAACTTTTGGAATTGTAACAAATGTATTGGCTCAAACAAAAAAACTTAATTAAAAAAAATTTAATTGTGGTCAAAACGTTTTGAGTTGTAAAGTTTTGTTTAAAAAACTTTAATTATTAAAATCACAAATGTTTGCTTGAGATTATGTTTTTTATTGTATAATTATGAAACAAATTTCACTCCATAAAAAACATTCGAATACCCTGTTAAGAGCGTGACGGCTTGATGCTCCTGCGCGCCCAATCACTTCTTGTCTGAAGCCTCCTGCTTGCGCGAGCTACACCACCTGGCCAATCAGAGGTCCGGTTTGGAGCCGAGGGGCGGAGCCTCCATATGTTTGGGTAAAAATGAGCCAACTGTTATTAGAAAGCTCAATTTGTCGCTCCGAACAGCTGAATAAGCGGCTCTACATTAAATATTTCACTTACAGCTAAAACATTTACAGCCGTCACGTTTCAGGAGGATGAGGCCAGCAGCTTAACTAGTAACTGCATGTTTAGTTTTATTTTTTTTTAATTATTTGCCCGTTGAGTCTCACAGCAATGAAGTCATCGACAGAAAACAGCTTTCAAATTGACGTCCTTCTGGATAGATGCGGGGTCTTCTGCAAATACATCCTCATCGTTTTCAATATCATCTTTACGGTAAGTCTGGCTTATATAAACAAATAAGACTTAAACGTGTGAAACATCACAGTTTGAATTACATAGAATAAGATGGAAAACCAATCAAAAGGTGTATTTATTAATTTGATTTTTTTAAAGTAGAGTTCAGATTTATCAAAGAGTGAGATATTTAAATACAGGCTAAACTAATTTAATATATTAAAATGTCAGTATTTTGTAACTTGTTTAAAAATGTGGAGTTTATACATTATACGATACATTTTTATTTCAGACATTTCACCAGCAAAACAGAATAAAAGTAAAACTTTAATATTTTCTAAGCATAAATGCAATATCCTATTACCAGATATACATACTCAAAAACACCACAAGTTTGGTTACCATGTCTGAAAAGAGCGTATGACGACGTTTGGCTTGTATAAACATAATATGTACATAAACGCATATGTATAAATTCATATGTGTATTTCTGCCCAAGCCATCCACAGTGTTTTAATTCCCGGCTAAATTCATCTCCCTGTTCATTCCTGTGTTATCGCGATTCAGCACACAGAGTGAAATGTTTCAAGCCTTTTTTTCTTGTCATTTTGATGCCTGTGGCTTACAGGTAATTCAACAACATTATTCAAGACATTGAATCGAAACACACACACAAAGGTTTCCTGAGCCTGAAATGGTGAGTCTGGGTCAGCAGGCTACACAGGGCTAATTTACATCTTTTTTAAAGCCATAGTTTTTATTACACTTAACTTCCCATTAATATGCTTGGTTGTACAACTGTGAGATCAATCTTTCTTAGTAATCTGTGTCAGCCGTCTTGACTGCGTAGCACCATTCTGCATTTAAAATTAAATCATTTTGGAAACAGTTTTGCGCTTCCCTGAGCTATAACTACATGTTGCGTTACTGACAAAATGTCAATGATCTGTTGATAGTCTAATATCTTAAAATGCACCTGAACTAACGGAGGAAGTAAAATTCAGGGATTTCAACGACGTCTTCTTTCTCTTGTAGGTTTTGGGGTTTGCGTCTCTAGTGTTTGGCCTGTGGCTGAATTTCCAAGGTAACTCCAGAGACATGTTCAATGTAAATGACGACGACAAAAAAAGCATCGACTCCGATATCTTTCACATAGGTCAGTAAATAAATGAGTCGTAACCATAAAGCCTCTTTGTACATTTGCATCGGACTAACATCATTTTCTGTTTTCTACCTCACCAGTCGTCTACATCCTGGTAATCCTTGGCTCTGTAATGGTGGCTTTGGGGATTTTTGGAGAGCATTCCGCCTGCAATTACAATAAAATTGCTCTCCTAGTGGTGAGATTTCTTATTTTTATAAAATATTCGGTCTGAAGGGTAAACTCTTACAGAGTCAGGAAGCAAGCTTATTTTATGCTACAAAAGGAGGTTTACATTTTAAAAATATCTACTTCGCTTGGGAGTTAAGTAATTAATCACAATTTCCTAGTGAAATTAAGATTTACCTTATTTAGCAATTAAACTAAGACATGAACTCTAACCACTTTAAGAGAAACCCCAAAGGAAATGAGACTGAAGTATAATTAGCATTAAAAGATGTCTATAACCCTGTCAAATGTTCTGTTAATGTCTGTATTTGAAATTTAAAATCAAGCATAACCTGTAATACTCAGTTCCTGATGTGACCTTCAGGGGAAAGCTCGGGGAGTAACAAAGAAATAAATACCCTTTAGTTTATCTACCAAGGAATCAAAGAATTAATGCAAAAATCAATTTGCATTAATTCTGTGGTGTTAAATTCGTCTTGGAAACTAAATTTGGAACTCTAATCCACAACTTACGAAAGCTGTTGCCTTGTCACTTTAAATAATAGGTTCCAGTTGTGTTTACGTTTTCAGGACAAGATTGTTCCAAAACAAATGTAATCATATCTTTCAGGCGGGAAGCGATTTGTGTTTGGTTGTACCAACATGCAAAGTAGAGGAAAACAAAAAACAAGTTGTTCATTCATAGTGATGAATGTTGCTTACAGTATCTCGTTGCTCATCAGAGCCACTGAATTCAGAGGCTCTGACCGAGGCTGTTGTAATTGACTAAAAACTAATGAAAACTGAAATTGTAAAAACATTTTTGTTAAGTGAATAAAAACTAATGGGTGAAAACTAAAACTTTTTTAGTTTTCACATTAGTGCGTTTCTAAAACTAAAAGGTTTACGTCAACTGTCGACAAATTACGGCACTACATAATGTGCAGGGCGCTACTTATGCTAAACGGCGACAGCAAAAGTAGGGCGAAAACAAAACAGTTTTTCAACAATTGAATATATTTTTTGAAAATGGCAATCTCCTGTTGAGTATTCATTACCTGATTGATGTATACATAATTCTCCACCTAAAGCCAAAGCAAGAAAATAAAATTACTACTATAACTAAAATAAGCCTCCAACAGTATCCACTGAAATGCACAATGAAGTTGAATGGATGCTGGGAGGCAGGCCTTCTCGTCCAACATCAGTGTCTGACCTCAGAAATGGGCTCCTGAAAGAACAGGTTGGCTGTAGAGCCATCAGTCCATCAAATCAACACATTTTCATAACAGCCTCAGACCAAAAGAGTGGATGGTTTGTCTTCTGCTCAGTCTAATGTCATGGTGGAGGCCCTCACTCCTCCACAGAAACTAATAAGTACTCAGATTTCATGTCAATACAACACAAGGCTTTCTGATGAACAAATCGTCCATTTTATCCTTTCATTTCTCTTCAGTACTGTGTCTTCCTCTTCCTCCTGGCTGTGGCTGCAATCGCAGTAGGAGCGCTCGCTTACACCAGCAAGGACACGGTAAGCAGGAAAAGAAACCGCAAACGTCTTCAGATGTTGGTAAAGATTTGATGCTTCTTATTCTAATCATTGAATTTAATCGATAAGGTTGGAAAAAAGTTTGGAGAGTTGTACAGCGACATATATAAACTCTACGGGAAGAATAAAGATGAAACGGTGGCTGCTACTCTCAAATACGTCCATGGTTTGGTAAGCACTCACTGCATCGGTAGAAAAACCAAAACAGCCTCATTTATTTAGCATTTTCCTTTTAATAATTTCAGTAGATCTAAACTGGTTGCATTTGTCACTTAGTGACCACAACCTTTGGGTTCAAGAACTCAAAGAATAAACATATAAACTGTAGAGGGGAGAAGAGAAACTATCAGATTTAAGGAATGTGTTCCTTTATAATTCGGGACTTACTTGTGAAAGGTTAAATACAGCGAACAAATGAACCAATAGTTAAAATTTATTGACAGAGTTGAATACATTTTGATCTCTTAACATTTTCCTCCATCTCCCCTCTACAGCTCCAGTGCTGCGGCTTGGACGGAGTCCAACTAACCGAGATGGTTAAGAAGACTTGCCCGAAGGCGGATGATAACACGAAGCATCTCAATCCGCCAGTAAGTTGGTGTTTCATCAAAATAATCCGTCATGCTTGGTCCAGACAGACTTTCATCATGAGGGCAAGTGATCCAGAGACTAAAGCAAAGAAAACCACAACTGGTTTCTACTTCCGTTTTCCACAGAAAATAAAAATACCTACTAGGTAAAAATGAAAATAAATTTAGCTGGACGATAAATTGTCACAGACGTCACTGTGGTAAATGGTAACATTGTCTTTTGAGACCATTTTCAGGTGATGGTAAAAGTGTAATAATGCAAGAAGACATTCTCAAAGTTCAATGAACTTTAAATTCCAATGAACATTTAACACTGGAACTAGGAGACCATTTAAATATCCAACATAAGCAGAAATTGAAAATTTTTGAAACTAAAAGTTTAGTAGAAGACCAGGATAAAACCACACAAATGGAAATTGAGCTTGTTTTAATTTATGCCATTGAGTCATTATGACAGGTCTACCACTACACACCCTAAATCTTTAGTCATTTCTAAAACGCATTTTCTATACTTTTAGATTTTTAGCCAAATTACAAACTTAATTCTAAATGTAGAAATCATAAGAGGAGTCGCATTAAAACAAGCCTCCAACTGTAGATGCGTTTTCCTTAGATACGTGATATGCACAAGTCGTGATCTTGAAGATGCTGTTAAAGGACCCAACGAGGCTTAAATAAATCATTTCTGTAAAGTACAGAGGGATAAAAATCATCTCATTTTCCAAAGCAGATGAAATTTGTAGGAATGCAAATTTTTTCTCAACTCTGAATAGTCTCTTTAAAAGATTTCATGTTTATTAGAGAAACTTTTTTTTTCCCACACCTGTGTATGTGGAAAATATTTTCCATAATCTAATTTCCGAAGTGGGGAAAAGCCTGAGGAAGACCCACACAGCAGCAGGGATACCTCCGAGCACCTAATCCTGGAAACTCCTAAATCAAAAACGTTAAGCGTTACATCTTCTCCTTTTCAGCAGACATGCCAACAGAACATTGAAAGCTTCATTGACCAATGCGCACCGCAGGTGACTGCCGTCTTCGTTGGAACCGGAGCTCTTTTGGTAGGCAAATTCTGCTCATTTATTTAGGGAAAAACATTTCACCTCAGATACAGCCATGAATAGTCGACCGTTTGACTCATGCAAAACAAGTGCGAAACTTATGTTCCAGTAATTCAGTTTGCTTCGCAAGCAGACGAAATGTTCCACCGACCTCAGCGGGCTGTTTTAACCCTCGTTTCTTTCACAGATCACACAAGTCGTCTGCGCCGCCCTGTACAGTTCAAAGATTCAGCGGGACTCTGAAGCTCCTCAGTAAATTATTCAGACTCTCTTCGTGTCACCCCTCTGGTGTCTGAGCTGCAGACAGCTAGTAGTTTTCATCTCCGATAGGTTTCCATCTCACTGCACAATTACAGAAGCTTCCTTCAGGCCAAAGAGTTGACATGAACTTTCTTCCACCGTTTCTTGCTGCATCTGAAAGTCTGCAGTTTTCTGAACCACAAGGCTGCAGGGAAGGTGGCTTCAGGACGTGTAAATGCATCCAGAGGGCCACCACCGCCTTGAGGCTTGTGCTACAGGAATCATGATGCCAAGATGAGAATTGTTGGCAGCAACGGTTGTGATAAGGGCCAAAGACAAAGTAACCTCTGATTGAGAAACGCCAAGACGACAGAAGATCTGCTGAAAAAAGGATAGAGAGTAGAGAGCCGGTGCAGTTTTCCTGTTGAGTCTACCAGATTTTTGGGACATCTAAGAAATGCTTAGAAATTTAGCCATAAATAAAACGGGTGGATTAAAAACCTACTCTAGGATCAACGTCTTCCAGCCAAGTCTGGCAAAGATCCATTTAGAAAACAGTGGAAGTAGTATATCCCAAGAACAGAGAAGTTTAGGGTTCCCACATGTAGAAATACAGAAATGTTCCAGTCACTCTCCAGAGTTCTCAGTTCTTTGTGTTTATTTAAAATATAAAGTTCATCATAAAGTTATAACAAAAGGATTCAGGCCGAGTTGGAGTCGTGCTTTTGAAAGTTTTCGATATACATCATACATCAGTATGTCATTATTGTCCACTTAGGGAAGTTTCCTTGCAGCAAGGTGAGAGAAAAGGAAAATCAACATCAGCTAAACAGTTAAAAGTTTATGTACAAATATCAATAAAAGCCTGATTACATTTGAAATCTGAATAACAGCCTTGCTAATAAGATCTTTGCCATCTGTTGATTCTTGATTTGGGCTGCCTGAATCTCTTCCCAGATGGTAGAAGCTAAAATTCACCATGAAGTGGGAGATTTGGAGAATAGGGCAATGTCTTCCTTTTGTAGAAATCTTTAAAAAGGTTTCTGCTAAATCAGGTGATCTAAAACCTGTAATTTTGTTGGCTACTTTTGCTTGGTCCCGTTCTCGTCTCCGGCTGAGACCATCAAACCGGGTGACTAAAGCGAGGACAGATCCAGAGAGCTGTAGAAAACTGTCAACTTGGAGCCGTCTCTCCAAAAACGAACCAAAAATGGATCAAATGTCAGCATTAGAGCCTGAGGTTCTCCCTACACTGTGGTAGAACAGGCAGAAATTAAATTGAATTTGAAGTAATTGGCCAATTTCAGAACATGATCTGAGTCGTTTTGCTGCAAGGGTAAAGTCTGGAAATGAACGAGTCTTTGTGAATAGAAAGAGTTTCTGTTCTATAAATGTGCAAACAAATGTAGCGGAATAAACAAATCACTGTGACATGCCGTTGTTAAAATCGGGGCTGAGAACTCTTCTGTTTAAAAGTATTTTTACTTTGATCGACATATCATTTTACTCCAACTTTTATATGTTAACTATGTTGCTTTTAGTTTCTGTAAGATGACCTTTGTGGGACCTGAAAGCCACATTTAAAATAAAATGTATTTTAACATGCAAATGTTGGAAACAAACTACAAACGGCTAAATTTATTCCCCCCTTCAAAACAGACAATTTGTACAGGTTTTTTGATAAAACACAGAAATAAGTCAAATGTGTAAAAGTGTCTTTATTTCATCCAGTTACATCAGTGTTGGGACCTGCAGAGATAAAATAAAGCCAATCTGAAAACAAATAAAAAGTAAAAATGGTGCAAAAATAAAAATACTTTCATGTCTGAGCTTTTTCAGAAGATGTGTTTAAGGAACAAATGCAACAGCGGTTTAAAATGTATAGAGAGTCGCATAGTTGTCATGTATGAAGAACAAATAAACACAAGGTGCAAGGTTTAGTTTCGACTGGGATGACGATGCATGCAGACCAGAAAATAATAACAGACCAATAATAAGAGCTCTGCAGGTGGAGAAGTCACAATGTGCAGCGACCTTTGACCTTGTGAGACATACTGAAGGACCAGACTACATGAAGGACCTCAAAGTTGGAACTACCGTAATTTCCGGACTCCAAGCCATTTTTCTTTTTGGTGAGGCAAACCAAAACATTACATAGTCATTTCTGTTTCAGTCCTCGACACCAGCAGTTAATATTTAAAAAAGAAAAAGTTTTTAAAATGATGCACAAGCAAATTTCAGCTGGTTAAAATACCAGGAATAAAAAGAAACTGATATGTAGAAATGTAATCTTCAGGGAAAGATGTGTTTCATGTTGGTTTTTTTAGTGATTGGAAAAAAGTCATTAAAATATTTGTAAGGACAAATCTTGAAGGATCTTCATAGATTAAACCTAAAGCTATAACTTTATCTCTTACCGTTGTTGCAGCTCACACCACAGTCACCATAGACAGCTGAGCACAGTTCTGTGTGGCACAGGAAGTAAACCTGATGGAGGGAGAAAAGGTTTTACATTACGATCATCTTCTCATGGTGCTGCAACATAATCCAAGGTCTACCTTCACACCAGAATAAGACTTTGTTCTCCCTGACCTGAACAGTTAACTGTGACTTGATTACAGCAGATTTGGAAAATGTCACCACAGCATCGTCAGCAGCAGGTTGCCTGATCTTATCCAACAGTTTCCACCATGAGCAGCATTAGAGGATCCAGGTGATGGGGTCTTCAGGACAGAGCGCTACATGTGACTGAGCATGCAAGCCTGCATCCATAGCAACAGTGACCAGGTTGCACCCAACGCAGGCTTGTGCATGAGGTTTACCTTACTAGAGATGCACCAATTAGACGGATCTCATCTCAACTTTCACTGAAATTTCTGCAAAACAAGCAGAAGTTCAAAGGGCAGCAATCTTCGGAGTCATTTTTCATTAAATAAAAATCAGTGACTTTCTCCAATAGATCCAAAGTCAGGGAGCTTTTCTCTGAATCACTGAAAACCTACAAACAAAAATCCTACAGGATTTGGTACAGATGCAGCTAGATTAAAAAAAAAAGTAAGAGTTTCTGGAATTATATCTATAATGCATATATTTATTACCGCTCATCTAAATGTTTTTGTTGTTCAGGGTCAAAATTAACTTTAGTCAACGTAGCAAAATGTAATCTTTAAAAACAACAAGTTACTATTTTCTGTATCAAACATCTTATTTAGGATGATTAGCATTACCAGCTGTTTTCTATAAGTTTTTTTTTATACCTTTTGTTGCAAGTTTGTTTCAAACACCAATCTGTTTATCATGTGACTCGTGATGCAAAAAAAAAAGTGTTTCATTGAAAAATAAAGCCATTTTAATTAAGCTGAAAAACCACCTCATCCTAAAACTTTACTGAAAAACTCCAGTTTTTTAGAAATCATTTCCAGTAAGCACAATTCTATGGTTAATGGAAATGCAGCTCCACCCCGACACTAAAACCAGACATGACCTTCTGGTTGGTTTCTGTCTTAGCAGCAAAGTTTTACTCTGGTGTGAATGAGGCCCAGAAGAAGAGGAGCCGGTTCTGTTCCTACCTCTGGGTCCTCCGATGCAGCTGGCCTCCCAGGAGCCCTGTAGGTGTAGCCTGCTGGAGGCAGGGAGGGGAAGCTGGAAACTTTAATCCTCCAGATGTGCCGAGGGTCAGGGGAAGGAAGCAGCTGCGACACACTCTGGCTGCTACAGCTGAACACAGAGACACGATTAACGTTCCAGCCAAGTTTTTTATTGTTCTGCAAGATATCACATGAGTACAAGCGGCCACAACCCGTTCCTGATGTGTGCGAACACCGTACCGGTCATAAAACAGCATCCAGTAGACATGCGGGGTCAAAGTGTAAGCCAGGCAGGAGTGAAGCAGGAGCAGCAGGGAGGGGTCTGCCGGCTGCAGCAGGCTGAGCTCCACATGGACAGAGTCACCCTGCAGGAGGCTGATGGGCAGCCGAGCTTTGGGGTGGAAGCTGGAGAAGGACGCATCTGTGAGATGGAGGGGAGCGGTTTAAGAGACGCACAAGGATCGAGTGTTACATACTCGTTTCTGGTTATAATACATCTGTCAGATTGCTCAGAAATATGAGGAAGTGCGAATGGAAAAAAAAAAAATTACTGGTATATTGGTTTGCAAAAACAAAGCTGTTGGTTTTATTAACAAAGTGGGATATCACAAACTAACTAAAATATTTTATTCAAAATAAAGTACTTTACCATTTAAAGATACTGTATATATAAAAACACTGGAAATGCTGTGTACAGCATTAAACGTTTTCCTTTTGGAATTCAGACATGAAGAGTAAATATAATTTACAAGGTTTGTTAACATGCTAGAGAGAAAAAGTTAAATCTAGCCGTTTCTCAGTTATTGGTATGAAACTGGGATTTATTTTTGGTGAGCTTAATATGGCAAATTTTAAAAGGCTTACACTGTCATGTCAATGTGTATATGTATTGTGTAACAAATATATTCATATTTAAATACAATCCATGTGAATATGGATAGTAGACATCTTTCATTATTCACTTAGTCCATGATCAGGTAGCCTATTAATGTTTTGGTAAATTATTGGTTTGTAAAATAGATTTTTGGAATATAAATTTATTAAAATAAGTTAATATGAAAATCTGAAATCTAGTACAGGTATTAAAATACTACCCTACTAATGTGAGAACAGCAAAAGGTTGTATGATTTGTATGAAAGCAAAAACGTCAAGATGTGCATAAGCAGTAATGGGACTTTTCATGAGTCTGATGGAGAAATAGAGGCGTCACCGGTTGCTATCCTCAGAACGACGGTGACGGCAGACGGCGGCGGCTCAGCGGAGGGCCTGATGTCACCTGGACCAGAGGGGGCGCCGCATCCCACCATCAGCCTGTAGGAGGACAAAGGTAACCAGGGAGGAAACATCTGGTCACAGAGCCAATGCAAAATTACGCATCATTTCCACTGTGACAATCAGATGATTTTTTGTTCATCTCCCTTCACAAGCATGAACAATAAAATAAAATAAAATCCACTGGGATAAATTGAATGCAACACTAAACTACCTAGATCTCTGCTGCACAGAGCAGTAGAGCAACGAAAATAGTTTCAAAAGGTCACAGGAAGTGATTATTCCACCCAGTGCACCAAGGAAGTGCAACATCTGTTGCAATGTGTGGGTGAAAAAACTGCATAACATC